TTAGAAAATTGAGGTCCACCCTCCGGACCCTTTTGACCTTTCTGCGATGAAGCTTCTTTTGAAGGCAGGAGTCAATGTTAATTCCATCAACAGCAATGGAGATACTCCACTTCACTTAGCTGTCATGAGAAAAGAGGGCGTATGGAAAAGCCGGAATCCGGAACCGGAACCGGAACCGGAACTTTTAACCAGGGTACCCGTGTGGGGATAAAATTCAAGATGGCGTCCTCTGTTATCATTGTTTTGAGAAATTTTCAGCACAGTGATCGTGATAGCAAAGGTATACTCACATTCGGAAAGTGACTTGCAAAAAAAAAAGGTAAGTGCATCCTACTGTTATTCCTAGCAGTCATAAACTGTGACTGCAGCTGTAGGTCGAGCAATTTTCGACAGATCGAGACTACAACTAATCAGAAGCCGGTTGACTGCGAAAAACAGGCATTATTAGTATGTGATGTTTAAGACCGCTGTGTTATTCATTTCCTTCTCTTGAGCCTAAGTTACTCATTTCTTAAAAGGGCTCCGTGTTTCAACCATTGCGAGGAAAAGGCGGAAAAGGGAGGAGGAGTACTCATGTCAATCATGATCCCAAGTTGCAACGCTCACGCGTATATGAAATTCTCGAAGGAAAATTTTGCGCCGTACGCAAAAAATGCGACAGTAAAAGATATAATAACAATAAATAAATATAATGTGGGTATGAAAAGTCTTGATCGAGCAATAATTGTTAGTGACACTCTTAAGACAGAAACGTCTCCAAGTTTTATTTCTTAGGTTCGGGTTCCAGTTCCGGTTGAGGTTCCGTTTCCGTTTCCGGCTCCGGTTCCGGATTCCGGATTCATCCTTTTCCACACGCCCAGAAAAGACAGCATCCAGTTTTTACCTCATATCTTAGAAGTTTTGTTTACTGATGGTGCTCATCATGATTTTGTCAACAGTGATGGTAAAACACCCGTGGACATGGTTCAAACTGGTGAAGCTCGCATGATTCTATCAGAGAGGACAAAACTGGAGTTAAAGTGTATCACTGCAAGAGCCGTCAAAAGCTTTGGAATTCCTTATTAATTTATTTGGGAGTGGTCCCCAAAACACTGGAGAAATATGTTAGCATGCATTAAAGTGGCCAACATTTTACATGGCTAGAAAACTTGTCACAAACCTAGCTTGCTTTATATTGTGGTGGTGCATGCTTGTGATTTTTTAGCATTCATAGAAGCCAGGGGATGAGGGAGGGGGTGCTCACTCCCTTATTTGGCCGAGAAACAGATGTGAACCGCGGAATAGGGTATGGTTTTCAGGGTCTTGAATCATAAACAGGGTATATACAATTTCACTTTTCTCACTGAGGGCCATCATGCACAAGTATTAATTCCCCTATAACGCCTGTGGTTCCTCTATATTATAACTAGTAATAGTTGACACTACAGCTGCCGCGGCTCGGTCAATAGCATTCTTGGTCGTTGTTTAGCTCTTTGAAATATACCGATTCATAATAAAGATTTTCACACATATTCCATACAATAGGTGAGATAAAAACAGGAAACACAAGGTTCCATGCACAGTTTCTGTTCGATTTACACAGCTTTCATCAAAACATTCTCAGTTTCGAGAATAGTTTATTCTAAACCATAAGAAAAGATTTAATTTAGAAGTTGAATTTTTCGCTATTTCTCTCTCACTATTTACATACAGTTCATTTTATTTGCCGGAAATTAAGTAAGCCTTAGAAATTAAAAGGACGTTTGATCAATTCACGCTCGTGCATTCTAATCTTATTTTAAACTTTATAGCGGAAGGACATCTGTGAGCAGGGAATAAGTTAGCACAGAATTTGATTGTCGGCGAACTTCTGTAATCGTCCATCGTTCTTCTAGTGATAAGCTAGCCATTGATTCACTCGTCTTGCTTGTTTGGGGCTGAACTACGCATTGTTAGATCCACAGGGGAACTGGTCGTGCATAATATTATTTACAACTTTAAAATGAAATAGACAATTTTTTTCCTTAAACAGGGTCGTGATTTGGAGGCCTTGGTAGGTCACCCAGGGTTCTCAATAAGAGCCGGCAGCTGGGGAAATTTGCCGGCTATTTCACATGAACTTGTCGCCTACTCTTCTTTGGAAATTATCCTCCAAAAAGCCAAAATTTAATGATATCTGTGTTCTATTCAAACACTCTAATTTTGCTTCGGAATGCTGGAAATGCATTTTAAGAGGCCCAGACTTCAAAATTTCTCCAGGGGGGCATGCCTCCGGACCCCCCTAGTCACTTGCACTTCCAGGCTTGTAAGTTGTGCCTGTGGTGCAATTTTTTTCTTTCTCTTCCTACTCCAAAGCTTTTGGTACCTACTTAAAACCTTATTGAACACCCTGCTCACGTCTACCCAGGACCACACAGCATGGGGAGGGGTTTTTTTGCCCCCAAAAAGTCAAACATGCATGCATGCATAAACGTTGAAAATAAAAATTGAAGCATTGAAGGAGCATTGAAACAATGATGTCTCTGCAGTTAGGTGAAACATTCTACTGGTTTTAAGATACAGAGACCAGTCTAGTCAGGGTCCTCTGGACCCAAAACCCTCTGCTTTTCCAAGACAATGAGCTAGCTAAACTCTTTGTGCCCCCTAGTTTCTAAAGTCTTGCTAAGGCCCTGCTACTCCTTCCCTTAAGTGCTTACCCCCCCTCCCCCCACAGATAAGAGATGTCATAAACCTTTTAGTTGTACCCATAACAAGTTTTAAGAATTAGTTTGGTAAGCAAAGAGAAGGAAAACCAAGGAAGTAAACAAAGACATGGTGCACACTGATGTGGATAATCAAATTAACAAAATAATAAAACACCATCCAACTTAGACAAAATTAAACTTTAATGTATGGGTTCACAACAGAAAACGTATTAAAAAACTACCTGACTTGAATATTCTCATAAAAACTGAAAACACTAACAACAGGGCCAGGGGTTGTACATGAAAACACAAATCAATGGCCAACAGCAGCGGCATATTAATAATGAAAAAATGCAATGTCACCAGGCAAAATATGCAAGTTTGACTAAGTTGGAGTAATATTGCGTAGTATTGCTGTTACTATAGGAAAATCACTAGTCTACTCTTCAAATAATGAGAGTTGTAAATTTGCACATAATTCTGCAACCCGATTTTAGCTAGACTATGAGTAGTCCCTCACTTCTGCGAAACACACATGTAAACCACCCCACACAAGGAAGGGAATTAGACACGGCGGGGAAAGAAGAATGTTTTGTGGGGTGAAGTCTACCCTCTAACCCTTTTAAATACAGTCGAACTTCTGTTAACGGCCACCTCTCTACAACAGCCACTTTTTTTTGTTCCGGCACACAAAAAATCCATACATTGACTCTTGTTTAAAACCTCTCTACAACGGCTACCTCTTTACAATGGCCTCTTTGTTCTGACAGTCCCCCAAGGTGGCCTAGAGTTCAACTGTACCATTTTTTATAAAGGAAACCATCACATTATATCTGCTTTAAGGTGTGCATGTCTTTAAATTTAGGTAAATTCAGAGATTGGGAACTCCACTGGGGCCTCTTGGTAAGCCATTACAGGGACCCCCTAGCTAGGTGCCTTACACTTGAACACTCGAAAGCAAAAGGCAAAGACATGGCATATCAAGTGTTAGGATATCAGATAAAAAACTCTTAATTTTCATCCTCAACTATACGAAACCCAAGCTCTTATTTGTAAACTGCAATTGGAAATTAAATAAGAGATAAAATGTTACCTGTTTTGTTCTATTTTTGAATCTGCCGCAGTGCGAAGTGAAATGGAAGTTGTTTTACAATGTGAAAATGATATTTAAGTCGACACTTTGATCATGACTGTTGTTGATTTATTTAATTTCCATTCGCAGCTTACAAATAAGAGCTTGGGTTCCCTAGCTATGCCTCAACCTTCAAAATTGTTTGAGCACTCACATCAAGCACTCTGTAAAGTGTTTCACAAAAATCATACAGTATTAAACAGGTCGAAGTTGGTGAGAATAACACCACTGCTTTATGTACAAAATAAGTCACAGAGGTAAAGTAAGCCCAGCCTCAGTGGGAGTTGATGGCTTGTGTGCCCTGCTACCCCGAGTTTGTTTAGCTGGATGGTAATCAGGGACTGTGATCCACTAAATGACTGCTCATTGGTAACCTGCATAGCAGGCATCAAAAAGGGTAGGGGATCGAGAGGAAGGGAAAAAGGAAGGGAGATTGAGAGGAGAGGGTAAGGATCCCTAACCCTTTAACGCTTATCTCTCACTCCCCCACCCAGTCCCTTTTTGTGCCCGCCATGCAGGCTATTGACAGAAGAGGACTTCTGGACAGAAACTTTAAATTCCGCATTACCTAAACGGTTAAAGATAGCTCAAGTTATTCACTCTCGGGGTGGGTGCTCAGGGAGTAAATGCGTGAATTATTTCCCTGTAAAATTTTCTTTGCATTTACTGTCGTGAATGAAAAGACATATTGGCAAGTTTCCCGTGTGATTTCTGCTGCTAGATCTTAGATCTTGACACTATCTTCTAGGATATAGGTGGGGGCATCTAACGGGAATAGGAACCGGCCAGGGGCCCGTTTCTCGAAAGTCCCGATAATTAACGGGCCCGGTAAGCTGTCTTCGTTTACATTAAAGATCGAGGTTCCAATAGTTTTGTATCTAAAGTGATAAAACTATCAGTTAATGAAACAAAATGGAGTAGTTTGCTAGCCAGGACCCGCGCTCTTATTCTTTATATTTCGATTTGAATATTTGATTTCGGGCCCGAAAAGTTACCGGGACTTTCGAGAAACGGGCCCCAGAACCGGAACTTGGGCTGCCTGTGGAGTGGCACACTAAGTTTTGCTAGATATTTCTAGGTATAACTTTTGGGTACCACTTAAAACACAGTATGTGCAACAAGAATAAAAAGCATGTGCATGCTCAGGTTATTAAATAAATGTCCTACTCAATGTGCTATTAATTAAGCACATTAATTAATGCATACTAACGTATTTCTCTAGTGTTTTGGGTACCAAGCCCATAATTATAGGGGATTCCAAGCTTTTTCACTGCTATGGCACAGATACACTTTAACTCCAGTTTTCTTCTCTCAGAAAGAATCATGCGAGTTTCATCAGTTCTAGCCATGTCCATGGGTGTTTTACCATCATTGTTGACAAAATCATGATGAGCACCTCCATCAAACAAAACCTCCAAAGTGTCAGTTAAAAAATGGATGTTGTCATTCCTCTCAGGTTTGTAAGTGACAGCTATATCTATATAGGTAAGTGAAGTGGAGTATTTCCATTGTTATTAGTGGCATTAACATTAAATCCTGCATTCAAAGGTAACTTTGTGAAAACATGGCTGTTTTGTCGATCTCTCAAACACTGGTACAAAAATGTATTGCCATCACGATCTCGAGAATTTAAGTTGCAGAGAGTGTTCATAAACAGTTCTGCATTTAAGAGTTTCCTATAGTCACCACAGTTAAGCTTACTGATTATCCAAACAAGTTTCATTGAGTAGTCATGCTCAAGTCTTAAGAATGATTCAGAAACCTCCCTTTTTTTTGTCATCTTTCTTTGCATCTCAAGTGTATAAGCAAGAATAACTCGGTCCATCTTTTCAACAAAAACATCATCTTTCGCAAAAGTAGACCATCCTTGTAGTATACTTTGCCAATTATGTCAATTAAAGTGTATGAATCTTGTTCTTGGCAGCTGTGGCGTACTTTGATTGCATGTAACCGCAATGAGATAAATGTTGAAAAATTATTTCTCCCAAAGTGGTGAAAAGAAACAGTACTAATAAATGGAAGTAAGACTTTATTATTTATTCCAAGGATTCTTTCTCTAATAACAAGGCTTTCCATGATGATAGCATTTTCATCACCTTCTATCTGAGCAAGCTCCTCAAGAGTTTGACTCTCTTTCTGGTTCTGATAAGGTTCAATAGGTTCCATTTGCTGTTTCAACAATGGGTGGGAATAAGGATCGGCAAACCTTTCTTATAATCATGCCTTGTTTGATGTACCTGAGTCCTCTCTTTACATCCTTAAACTTTAGGTAGTCTAGTTGTTTAAAATGGATGAACAAAGAGAAGCTCCAAGTAGCTCCAGAGCATCAATCCTTTGCTCTTTTGTTATCTCTGGTCGATGTTTGATTACACACTTTACCATTACCGCATCGCCATTATTACTAGCTGCCAGCAAAGGCGTCAGTCCGTGGCTGTTACACACTTGGGATGCTCCAGCATTCAACAGGACCAAGACGACAGATCGATGTTTTGTGAGAATATACAGCATTATAAGTGAAGAGCAGTTGTTTTACCACTTTGGGTTTGAATATCTAAGTAGCACCATTCTCAATAAGCAGAGTAACTTTGTTAGAAGCAATTAAGCTGCAACGTTCTGCAACTGTCATCAGGAGGGTGTAATTCGAGTTTATATTTATTCTTGTATTAACATCGATTCAACTCCATTTTTAATCAGGGAACACAAAATTTCATATGAAGTTTCATCACGACCATAAACAGCATGCTGCAGGTATAATTGACCATATATGTCTTCAAGATCTAAATAAGGTCCATTTTGAAGAAGATAGTTTACTGCATTGAAACTGCGACAGTGAATAGCTAGCATCAAAGGAATGAGGTTACCTGCACCCTGAATATTAAAATCACTCTCATTATTATAACCTGCTCCTCGTCCTTCAATGTCCGCTCCATACTTCAGAAGCAATTTTACACAATCGAGATTTCCATTTTGTACAGCAACTACTAAAGAAGAAACAAGTGACTTTTATTTTCCAGGTAACGAACAGCAATCAAGAACGTACTGCTTATCTAATACAAAAATTATTTCTGTAAAATCCAACTTCTGAAGGACCTCATCAAGGAGCACAGCATCTCCAGATTTTATAGCTTGAAAGATCTTTTGTTTTGGATCAGCGGTGTTTGTTCTCTGTCGGAACCCCAGGGGGCACTCGGGTATTTTTTGGGTGGGTATGTGCCGCCCGGGACTCCAAATTGGCACCCCGTTCTGAAAAAAATTCCCCTAAAATTTATACTCCGTTCTACAAATGGGCCAATATTTTATACCCCGTTCTAGAATTCGCCCTAAAACTGATACCCCGCTCTAGAAATGGGCCAATTTTTTATGCTCCGTTCTAGGGTGCAAGAAGAGTGCAACAGTTTGCTTGTTAACGCATTGAACCGTATTTTTAAAAGCAATCTGTCCTGGAATAGTTTCAAATGGCTGCTTATAAAACTGAAGCTTTCGTGCGCCCGGAATATTATACCCCGTTCTAGAAAACGCCTCTGAAATGGATATCCCGTTCTAACCCTTTTGCTTCAAAATCACGACCCCGTTGGGCGGCACATACCCGTATAGGTAATGTATGGGAGTAACCCCCCCCCCCCC